CTACGAACACAGATTGACGACGTTTGATCAGCAAACCTGCACGAAATATATATACACTCCCGTTCATAAGTCACTGGGACACTTGCTTATTTTGATCTGAACAGTTACTAGAACGCAGATATACTTTTCCGGATTAATTTTATTATACAATCTTGTTATATGTACTCTATTTACTCCATTTTATAATAATACTTGAAAACAAAAGTGGCATTTAACGTATATGGTCTGAATAAATATTTCAAAGTATATCAAAAATATGTATATATGTTTGAAAAATCGAATCGATGTATTTTGGGATGAATTGGACAGAAGCCTTCAGAAATGTGTCCAAAATCAAGAAAAAGACTTATGGAAGAAATCAGAAGAAGCGTGGTAAGGAATTCATTCGGAAATATTGTTAAAATTAAACGGAGGTATGCCACGGTTATTTCTGGCCTTCATACTTGCACAAAGATGTAAGATAAATTATGTACAACTTGGCATTTTTGACATATAGAATATGACATGTGTCAAACTATTTATATGTCAAAAATCTTACCAAGTTGTACATAATGTATCTTACATTTTTCGTGGAAATATGGAGACTAGAAATAACCGTGGCATACTTCCGTTTAATTTTAATAATATTTCGGAATGAATTCCTTTCCACGTTTCTTCTTCCAATTTCTTCCATAAGTCTTTCTTTTGATTTTGGACACATTTCTAAAGGCTTCTGTCCAATTCATCCCAAATATCGATTCGATTTCTCAAATATATATACATATTTCTGATATACATTGAAATATTTATTCAGAAACCATATACGTAAAATGCCAGTTTTGTTTTCAAGCATTATTATAAAATGGAGTAAATACAGTAAGTACATATAACAAGATTGTGCAATAAAATTAATCCGGAAAAGTATATCTGCGTTCTGGTAACTGTTTAGCTCAGAATAAGCAAGTGTCCGGCGACTTATGAACGGGAGTGTATATATGTACATATTATATATATATATATACATACATACGTATATACACGTATAGCGGCTCTTGGATAGATAAACGCATCGATCAAGAAGGAATATAACGCGGAATGGACGGTAATAAAAATTACATCAGACTGTTTTCTCTCTTACTCCCACCCACCCCCGCCTGCTCTCCTCGCGCGTTAGCCGAGCGTCGATCGATCCCTCTCGCCGTTTCCAAACTTTTATTTACGCTCTGCTCGAGAGCGCCGTTAATTATTGCCACGAATACCCCCGACGAATCGTAACGTAGCCGCGTTACCAGTTTCTCGTGAATTATTCCGTATCGGTTGAAACGAGCGTACTTGCCCGGAGAGAACCCGGCGCGGCGCGGCGCGGCGCGAGGTCCAACGCCACCTCCACTCCTGCCCTCCGCCGAATCCTTTTCCAGTGTTTCGATTAAATACGTATACGTTTATTTTGGGAGAATTCATATCGATCGCCCGGCGTCGTCATTTAATCAACCTTTGACCCCGATCGATCCGTCTCTGGTCGCCGCGCCGGCGAGAATACGGGAAATCAAACCTGTCTTTCTGGTTCACCGAGGGTCAAACGTCGCGCGAAATCCTCCTCGCGCAGCCGTGGTGCTCGGGCGTTCCTCTACGACTTTGACGAGCGGAGTGTACGTTAGGCTCGATAGGGGCGAGAACCAATTTGCCAAGGTTGTTTCTTGCAATTTCGATCGTTTGATTTCGCACCGATTTCGAAGAGGCACGCGACGATCAGTAAATTGCTGTTCTCTTTGCACGAGAGGTCGCGAAAGTGTTTACGAACATATTTTCTTGTACGAATGTATCGGTTCGATGAAAATTTCGTTATTAACTCCGTGATCAAGCCCCGATTTGCTTGATCGCATCATCGAATCGCAGGATGTTTGACACCTCGCTTCATCGTCAAAGTCTAATGTGGGTTAGGTCTTCCAGCGACGTGTCTCCGGAATGAAATTTAGCGAGCCATATTTATACGGCAAGTTGCTGGTCGGTAATGACTCCTTTGCCACAAACGCTGCATATTTCTTCGTAGAGATATCTCCGTAGCTTCTTTCTTTTTTTAGGCTTAAGCTCCCATAGCACAACGTGTATCGAGTAGGCTAAGAAATTTGTTATTTAATTCCGATGTGTAAGTTGCTACTGTTAACTGCTAACGCAAACGTTCAAATCTGTCATCTATCTTGTCCCCAAAATTATCCACAGAACGTTGTCGTATTTAGACCAAAGGACACCAAATTAGTATGTATCCACTCCACCCTACTGCGAGAACGAATTTTTCAAAGACATTGCTGGAGAATCGGCGAGAACAAATGAAGAATAATTAAAATTGCGTCACGAGGGGGGGAAAAGAAAGAAAGAAAAAAAAAAAAAAGAAGAAGAAAGCTTCAACGATTATTCGTGGATATTTAAAATAGGGGTTTCCGGGCGTGTTGTATCGGCGTCATTACCGCGAAAGCACGTCGGCATCGTGGCAAAAGATCCGCACATAGCTGACCTATATACCACGGAGGGCAGGACGAGCGTGCCAAAGAGAGGAGAGATTCGTATCGCGATCACGACTGCTGGCGCGAGCGGTCGCGGGGCTACTTTCACGTGAGAGCAAACGATTGTACAGCCGGGGCCTTTGGTACGCGAGCGTACCGATTCGCTTCGTTTGTCCAACGCTCCCGACGACAAACGTGTGTATACGGTATGTTCGCTGCCACGCTCTCGCCCCTATTTATTTTTCATCGGAACGTACGGCGACGCGACGCGACGCCAACGCACACGTCGCGCGCCTCTCGTATCGAATTTGACGCCGCGGCAACGTTCGGCCTCGAATTTTTTTTTTTTCCCCCACCCCGCCGTTTCACCGCGCGAAAATTCTCCCTCGGTTAGGAGATCCGCGTCAAGGCAAGCCGAGCAAGTTCAAAGCGTGGTAATTTGGTATTCGATCATTCGGCAGAATCTCTTTTGGGAAACATTTGGGAAATTTCGCCAGCAGTTGAACGCGCGTGAATATACGTTGGCAAAACTCGAAACCAATCGGAAAATGTGTGAAAAGGCGAGAGGAACGAGGTGACGTTCCGTCGGTAGATCTTCGATGCAAATATATTTTTATCTCGTGTATTTTCGAAAAATTCGTGAAACTTTGGAAAATTTCGGAGAGAGCGTCGTCCTTTGGACGTTACGTGCGATTCTGCGCGATTTGATACCCGGCAGTCTGATCGTTTCGATTTTAATGCACGATTGCAGCCCTTTCGCAATGAACTTTGTAGTAATCGAATGTATCGCGGCGATAATCAGAACGACGTATGGAAATATCGGACATTGGGGAGAAACTTTTTGAAATTTCGCCCGAAATCCAACGAAAATTTCGATATGTTTCGCGCAACGCGCATTAGGGACACAATATATTCACGAGTCTCTAAATACTTTCGCGCACGTTGCGCGATAAACTCTCGTCAAATATCCGCGATTTCCGGCGTGCGAGCGGCGCTTTAATACTCCGCGCGTGTCAAAGGTTGAATCATCAGATAAACCTCCAGTGTCTCGAGCGTTACGGCACTGAAGAATATTTCAAAGGCGCGGGCAGACGCATGGGTGGCTGTTCGCGATGAAAAGTGTCAAAGGCACCCCCGGCCTCGATCTAAGAATTATTATCGAGGAGGAGCAGTTCGTGTCTCGGGAGCGTGGAGGTGGGAGGCGGGGAAAAAAATCGGTGAAACGTTTAACTAATGGGTCGACGTCATGGGAGAAAGATCGGAACAGTTAAGGATGTTACGCGAGAGAAGGGGTAGGAAAGCTACAGTCTCGTCGCGCGAGAGACAGAGCATGGAAGAACTGCGATACGCGCGCGGCTGCGTTATTACGCGACGAGTCGTCGGACAGGCTGTTTCTCAAAGTTAATTTACACCTCCTCCGACACGTCGATACGCACGATAAGCTTTCGTACGTACGCGGTTGGGATTTTTCACTTACGAATGTACATGTACTACGTAAGTGGAAATTTCGCCTCGTAGATTGACACGATGATGGTAATTTTAGGTTCAAATGAATTTCATTGCATTGGAAGGATACACTTTGGAAAAGTGTAGCGTGGAGGATTCTCTCTCTTTTCGAAGATAAATTGCTTCAACGATTGTAACGTAAATGTTACGTAATTACGATTCGTTTTGCGTATTCTTTGCCGGACACTATGTTTCTATTCGTCGTTGAAATGAAGTTTCTGCGCGTCGTTAAGTTCCAACAAGTTTTCCGCTTGTTATTAAACTTTAATAAATAGAAACGTTGCGTTAATGTTGCGAGCTACGGTTTTACTCGTCGTTAAAGTAAAGTTTCTACCTGTCAACGATAACTTAATTTGATGATAAATAGAAGCACAGTTTGCAACAGGGAATGCGCAGAGTGTAATCCGCGCTACGATGATAACGTAACGTTTTAAAGTAACACCTTCGTTTAAAGAGGTTTACTTGTCGAACTTTTCAAACTGTCTACAATATACAAGTTCAATAAGCTAAATTCTAGGAAAAATTTTCGCAGAAAGCAATCGATTCCTTTATTGATACTCGTACGTTTGAAACGTGATTTAAGAAAGGAGAATAACGAAGAAACGTGGCGCGCGTCACAGACAGTCGAGTAATAAACGACTAATTTAAAACATCGCGAGCTCGAGGCGACGAGGACCATCTTTCAAACGTTTCCGCGAGCTGAATAACGCGCAACTTGTTCGCAGTTTCACGCTCTTGCGAGAACCCTAGATGCTAGATCTCTTCTTTGCAGAAACGTAGGTTGCGCAACGATACCAGCGTGACTCGAGATTCCGTCGATCTCGTCGTCCCCCCGTTCGTGGAATTTTTTAATAATATCCCGCCTGGGGTATCGTAACGTCGTTAAGAATCGTTAAGAGAAGGGATCGCAGTACTCGTGCAGGAACGCGAGCGTTAACGAGCGGGCCGCTTCGATGATCGCGAAGCGTTCTCCGCGACACGGTACACGGACTCGACTCAACCAGCTTCTTTCAGGGAACATCAGCGACTCGCAGTACATCACATACATGACAAGTAAGTACGAAACAACACGCTGCGGAGTTTCTCTTGTAGCGAGAAACGCCCAGCGGGCGAAGCTGTGTAAAGCTGTGGGCGCGAAGGCGATCGAAAAACGAAGCGTGTCTTTGGAATTTCTCTCCGAAACTCAGATTCAATCCTGATCATTTGGCAAATTGCACGGTGAAATTCCTGGCAATTGTCTGAATTATCCGGACCTATGGTAACGTACGTGCTGTCTGATCAAGTGGACTCGAGCTACCTTCGTCCCTCGCATCTCACAGTCTTGATCGACAGAAGTCTAGAGTTCGAAGTTTTTCACCAATTCGGTACGGCGAATCAAGTGTGACGCGATATTCCTTTAAAAGTCGACGATCGGCTGTATGCATTGATCCGATGGCTGTCGGCGATAGTACCAAAGTGGTGAAATTTCCAACGATTGATGCCTGCCCCCCCGAAGAAACGCGGCCGAGTTTTTCGCTCGCCTTTTTCCCCAGAGATTCGAAAGAACGAAGAGAGAGAGAGAGAGAGAGAGAGAGAGAGAGAGAGAGAGAGAGAGAGAGAGAGAGAGAGAGAGAGAGAGTGGGAAGAAAGCGGGAAAGCGGAACGAGGAGAAAAAGAAAGAGGGGCGCGAGGGTGGCAAAGGGAAAGAACGTCTGGACGACGTCTGAAGGAGTTTGTTTCGCATGGCCGCGTCTGTGTTTCCTTGCGTTTTCAAGGGCCTCGTTAGAGTTCGCGGCGAACCGCCGTAAATCGGCCCTGTTTTCGACGGCAGGAGTAGGAGTGGGAAGAGGAGCGAGCGAGCGAGCGAGGGGAGCCAGGCGGCTCGATTTCGCTTGGACGACCGGCACCGATCTAAATTTCAAATCCCTGCTAATGTGCATTTTTGCGAGCGCGCGGGTCCGAGGCCTCTTATCGGCCAGGTGTACTACACGCTTTGAATTTCAAATTTCGCGCGCGCAACCCGTGTCGAGCGTGTACGTGCACGTGTGTGTATACATGTGTGTGCGCGCCAGCCGACCAACTTTCGAATGTTTCTGCCCGCTTATGTGCTGTCATTTGTTTCCCCTTCCCTCCTTCTCTCTCACGTTCTCTCTCTCTCTCTCTCTCTCTCTCTCTCTCCTGCTAGATAGCAGCCGCCGATCTACGATATCTAGCGGATTTTATTTATGGCGGCAGCGACTACGTATCGGAATTGATTCCGTGATTTATTCGTGAACCGTCCTTTCCAACCGTCGGGTTGGTCGATACCGTCGGAAGGCAGAGCCTCGCCTCGAAATCGAATTTCGAGAGACAGGTTTTTCCTTTCGAGTCGCGTTCCCTCGTTTTCGTCTTTCGTACGCGACCTGGTCACACGAGCCTTCTTAACGAGAGAGGAGCCGACGATAAGCTTTCCATTCGGCACCTGCGTTACGGTTCGGTTTCGATCGGCGAAAGTGGCAAGCGCGCGACGATCGCGCATTAAGGTCACGAAAACTGTCTCGCCGTCTAATTTGCACAACGGGGAGTAGGAGGAGGTATCCGAGGAGGAAGCGAGGAAAATCGAGCCGTACTCGGCTACTTCTCAGGCTGTCGTCAGTCTTTAACGACGGTATAACTTGGAGCTTTATCTCCGCCGGTAATTTTCACTCGCCTGTACATCCTCGGCGCGCGAGCGCGGTTTTTACAGATCTTCTTAATGCACGAGACGACTCGCTCCGGCTAATTGCGCTCGCCTCACTTGCGAGCGCCCGACGATTGCGAAACTTCTGGCCGCGCCAAGTCAGGGCAAGAAAGTCGCGCTGCCACCGGCCGCTAATTGAAGCGCAATTAACCGCGTTAAAACGTTGGCCGTTGATTAGGCCGGCGGTCTGTCACCTGCCGCGGCGCCCTAATGGTTGACTCTTTCCACTTTCTAATCTCTCTCTTCTCGTGTGTGCTCGTGAGACTAACGCGAACGTCTCAGGACATATTTTCTACTTTTAATATCCGATATTAAGATACAAGTTTTACACGTGTATTTTACAATACAATTGTCAGTCCGCTTTGCAGATACTTTCATTTAATATTTCCAGTTTACGTGGTGTTTGTTCCGGGACTTTAAAGCGGAGAGAGAGCACGGAAAAATTCGCTACAAAGTAGATACGACAAGATCCAAAAAGACTCTCGAGAGCGATGATAATAATCGTCGTAGTCGCGAAACTTTGGCGAGAATCTCGATAGTCTCGGGAGCGTCGAAACTTTCAAATTCCCGTTCTCATTTAAGAGCGCAGCAATTCGAGCTCGGACTTGGCGTTTAAAAGGAAGAAGGAAAAAGAAAAAGAAAAGAGAAAAGGAAAGAAAGCGCGGTATCCGCGAGATCCGCGCGCAGTCGAAACGTTGAAACACGACCGGATGACGACGGTTGGAGGTAAACTCGGTATCCAGGGGGATTTAATTTTTCAAGTATCGCCCCGGCCAGACCGAAAAAGGTCTCTCTCCGTTTCGTAAATGCTCTTTTAAATGGGTCTGAAAGCACTATTAGCGTTAAAAGCCAGTTACGAGCCAAGAGCCGCCGGCAGCTTTCGCGGGGCCGGACTGAGCCGCGACTCCGCTGAAACGGAGATACGAAAAGTGCTCTCCGGATATGTCTCTTGGATCGCGCGCGCGGACGATCAAATGCCATTCCGTTTCTTGAAATAAAAATTTCAAAGGCGCACAGGAAATCGAGCAACCGAGAGAGGAGAGAGGGAGACTCTCTTTTCCCTCTCGTTCGGAATTTACTTTAACCCACCCTCCCCTTCTCACCCCCCGACATATCCTACTCTGCGCGACGCGGTTCGTTGTTCCCGCGATCTCTGGATTCTTTTGGATCGTTGCCACGGGAAATGCAACGTCGCTTGTTGTCGTCGGCTCTGTCTCGACGACGTTCTTCCATGATTAGACTGTCGCCTACGCGTCTGTGAACGTGTTTCTCTATGTGTCTGTGTGTGCCTGTGTGTGTGTGTTTGTGACTCGGTCAAATTTAGTAGGCGACACACAGAGAGCAGCAACGACGGGAGATATCTCGAAGACGACGATCTCCCGACGGGTGTGAGACGTAGAAGGCCAGAGAGGTGAAGCTACTTATTTAGAATATTGCTGGCATGCATTTGCATAAATTTAGTGCAGGCCCTACGCCGGGTTCCTCGTCTCGTCGCGTCGCGCCCACCGTTATAGATCCGTGGAGACCCTCTTAAGTGCCGCAGATAGACCCGAAGGATCTAGTCGCTTGGACCCCGCCTCTGTCCTTCTCCTTCCCTCGTTTCATTTCGCGCGCCAGCATCCGAGTATCGAGACGCGCTCGTAAAGAAAACGCTCGACTGTTTGCTCGGCCGATGCAAATTACAGCGGGGACGGTTACGCGGCGGAGATGGAGGCGCGCGAGCGCGTGAATCATCGGCGAAACGACCGAGAACATGGCATCTCGTGGATTTTCGTGGCTGGCACGCATACATATTCAAATTGAATTATCCGCCCTACCAGACGCGTTGATTCGAAATCGTTCGACGGGCCGATCTCGTGGAAACAGAGAGAGAGAGGGAGTGAGGGAAAGAGAGAGACAGAGAGGGAGAGACCCCGGGACCATACCCTCGGCACTCGGTTCACCCCGAAATCCGGGCGCGCATCCTCGCCATTGTCCCAGAGCCGCTTGGACTTCCTAGACTAATGGAAATTCCTGGCGAGAAGTTGGTTAAAACGCGATCGCTTTGCATACGTATCGAAGCCGAAGCCTCGCCCGGCAGCAATTCTCCTCCCTCGGGTGCGCGAGAGTTGTCTGCACGGGGCGCGTCGCGTCGCTCTCATTTCGCTTTCCCTCGCATGAGCGCGTGCAAACACGTCGTCGGCGCGTGTGGCCCCACGTGTCCGCGTACCGGGCACGTTTCATCTCCTACGAGGGGAGTGGTGAAACACGAGAGGAGTTCGGGGTACAGGTGTATAGCCGCATCGACTCGGTTGCTCGTGGCTGTCCTCGCTTGAATATATATTTCATGGCTGGATCAGTAATTTCGTGGAAACGAATTTGATAATCTCGATGTGGGTACGTTAACTGGTGGACTCTCGGGGGGGAAGCTTTCGCGTTTCCTTCTTTCCGTTTTCGGCGAATATCGGTAACGTTGCGAGCGATGTCGCAGCACTGTCGTCGAAAGAACGATCGATAGAACGTTGTTTTCCAGCCACCGTGTTAACCCGTGCGCTCTGTTTGTCGAGGTCTGGGTATTTTCGAGACGGTGTTTTCCTTCGACGAAAGAAATCGCGAGTTGCGAAACTAAAAAGAACGGAAGAGAAAGAAAGAGGGGGATGAAAGGCGTGGAAGGAGGAGTAACGAGTTCTCTTCCCGTGTCGCACGGTCGACGCCGGTGGAATTGTTTTTTCGCTCTTTGTTCGTCGGTGCTCGTCGGTGCTCGTCGGTTTTGCGTTACTTATCTCGTTAAAGAAACGCGAGGAACGGATAATCCGCAACCGACAAATCGCGGCTGCCGGCTTGAAGCGCCCGGTCGCTCTTTTCACAGTCGTAACTTTATCGCGGAAGAAAGAGCAACGACGGCCAGGCGAGGCCAGGCCGGGTAAAGGAGGAGAGGAACCGAAGCGTTGGAGAGAGAAACAGAGAACGCGTTTGTGTCGGTGGGTTAGCTGCTGGCAGCAGCCGCCAGTGGAACAAGTACGGTAAGGGTCAGACGCAGCGAACGAACGAACGAACGAACGAACGAGACGAAGTTACCAAGTAATGGATGCTTTAATTCCAAAGGAATAAATTGCAATTTTTCCAGCGGCGCAAAGTCTATCCGGGCGTTCGCGTTAAAAATCCCGGAATTCAATTAAACCGCGGCCGCCCGGCCACAATCCCGAATTGAAATCTTGAAATTTCATATTCGACCGCGTCCAAGCCCAATGGGACGGCGTTGCTGGCCCGGCCTATCCCGACCCCCGCTCGCTGTTCGAATCTCACGGACAGAAAAAGAGAAAACGTGAAAAGAGAAAATAGCGCGATACTCGGTTTCGACGACCGGCCTCGAGAA